AAACTTGCTACTTTCTTTCCATCCATCATCACAGCTATGGCATTACGGTCATGTAGATTATTTTTCTGTCGTTGAAGAAAAAACATTTTGCCGACCTCAAGTCTATTACGATAACCATAATGAGACATGCTTACGATGGGAACTTGTTGCATCATAATTTTGTCATGTGTGTGGGTGCGTGAATAAATCATGTTAATGAGGTCGACCAGAGTTTGTTTTCAGTCTGTTTTTTATGTATCGCTATTTGGATATGTTTATGTATTCACAATAGTTTGTAAACATTTCACATCAGTAATAAAAGGTTTGTTTCATAACCCTGTCTGCTATTCTTTAGCGATTTATCAATATGTGTGTGAACAAAATTATGCTAATGAGGTCATCGCCATTTACAAGCTGTCGTTTTTTCCGGCCGTTTCGACTTGCACTGATCACGGTTACTAAAAAAGTAACTGTGCATTGATTACAATACTTACCATACGTTGTAGCCGATTTCAGTGAGTAATACAACTTCATTCGCTGACATAAAACAATTTTTATTCTTGAAATTCAACCCTGTGTCTTAGTGTTTCAACAGTTCTTGACCGAGTGCTCACGTTTATTGAAACCTCGCATAAATCAAGAAATAAGTACGTGTACAAAGTGTACAAAAGCATTCCTTTATTTGACCTTATCATACGATCACAAAAACAACTTTTTTAAATCATTTTTGGGGTGGTCCTCGGTTAAGCGCCCACCCCCAATTTTTCCCGATTTTATATGTTCAGGCCCCTCGGTGCGTGCCCGTGGTAATACGGTAACTGATTTTATTCAAATCTGATACACATGTGATGTACTAAGTGTTACACAAGAACTTTTTAAGCTCCTCTGTCAAATTTGTCAAGGTGTATATGTACTTTAGGTAGACCTATCTCAGATTTGTTGATTTTATAATGATATTTTCAGTTCTTTAATTGAAATGTGCATTGCTAACAGCAGAACTATCTTAGCTGAGAGGCTGCTTGTTGGAAAAAATCATGCCGAAATCAATTCCAACAGATGGTACTGCGACATTGATAATTCACTTTCGCATTGCGTTACCAGAAAATCTTCTGGAATTTCTGAAGAATTGCAGGTCAATGGTCATTGTTGCAACTGCTTCTCATCAAAAGTTTGCGTACGATCCAATACATTCGACAATGATGAAGATTTTGACTAAGACTGTGTTCCAGACTAAAATATTTTTAACCTAGTACATCCAGGTGATACATACCATACTTCCCCGAGTATAACAACCCCCCCCCCCCCTCCTCCTTCTGTTTTTAGACATTTGAAGAGTTGAGGGCATCTCCAAGTATAGGCCCAGGGTGTTTTACAGAGTGTCGATGACATTTATTAAAATATGCATGTAAAAAGTTTATTTCATTGCATAATAATCGTGATTGGTCTTGCTTTTTCGAGAAAACTCGCATTAATTTCAGAGTGCATGACGGGCGAACGTACGGAACATGGTTTGCACCTTTTCTATTCTTTTATTTACTCAGGATGAACTGTGATGTTGCAAAACTAAAGTACCATAAAATTCCTGAGTGAGGCTGCGGCTTTAATTAAAATTCGTGTTTTCAATGGGCGATTCCAGATGCATGCGCTTTAATTAGAGCATTCACTTCGGTAACAGTGGGAATTTTTAGCTCCGCTGTCGACCTTGTCGAGCAGAGCTCATCATACCAGTGATTGTCTGTCGTCGTCCGTGTCAATGTTTTACTTTTTCAACTTCTTCTTGAAAACTACAAGCCTGAATGCTTTGACACTTGGTGTATATGTACCTTGGGTAGACCTCTCTTAGATTTATTCATTTCATATCTTCAATTCTCTAATGTTGATGAATGTATTTGCTCTATTAGAAGGGCTTATGCAATAGATACGAGAGTAGAAGTACACCAACAGCACAGATCTGTCCATGTTATATGAGCACGCTTTAAGAATTATATACCGTACTCG